CGGCGGGGCGGGGCGGGGCAGCCCAAGGGGCGCAGGCGGCGTCCGGGACCACAAGCAGCAGCGGCCTGGCCTATCAGCCCGTGACAATGGCCTGCGAATAGCGATCGGTGCGTGGGGGGGGGGGATTATATTCAGCCATGGCCTAATGACATCCCATCCCATCTCCAGATCCGGCCCCGGGGCGGGTAAGTCGCCCCCGCCGTACGGACAGAGACGGGCGGGACAGACAGGCGGGCGCCGGTGGGCCGGCCACAGCCGGGGGCGACTTACTCGCCCCACCACCAGTCGCGGGGTGAGGGAGAGGGAGGATCACTTCGAGACGCCCGCGTGCTGGGGATGGAGGTACAGGGGGGGGGGTGAATTTGCATGTCGGAAATTTGGCTTGGTTTTTCCTCCCCTGTGGACCCGCTTCGCCTTACTCAACCTTCCGCCGAGCTGCGCTCGCGCTCCTTAAGAGAGAGAGAGAGAGAGAGAGAGAGAGAGAGAGAGAGAGAGAGAGAGAGAGAGAGAGAGAGAGTGCGAGCGAGCGAGCGATGGAAAGATAAACACAAAGGAGTGTGACAGTCAGAAGCCCCCTCGCGTGCTCGCTTATTGCAAGTAGTAAAAATGGAAATGTGCGCTCCAGGTCCCTGGAGACGCCTGCAGAGACTTTCCAGGAAGAGCGTGTGCTCCAGGGAATGGCTCTGTTTAGGTACCTACAGATACTTGCTGCATGGCCCTCTCTGGAGCAGCCTACACGTGAGCTCGCGACCTGCAGAGACTCCACAGACCTTCCGGAGAGACCTTTGGGTACCGCAGAGCCTCTGCAGGAACCTGCAGTGACTCCAGGACGACATGACACTGCAGGAGGCACCTGCGACAGGGCAGGGAGGACATTGCCACCCCGGTGGCTCCAGTCTCCCCGGCAGCAGCGCGTGGAATCTTTAATGGCTTTTTGATTGGGCGCGACAAACCAATCAATTACCTGGGGATAAAGCCGACAGACAGAACGAGCGAGAGAGAGAAAGCGAGAGAGAGCAAGAGCGAGCGAGACGGGGAAGGAGGAGAGGGGAGGAGTCATTGAATCTACAAAGAGACAGTTTCGCCCTCTCTCGCTCCTCCCCCGCTCTCAATGCAAACCCGCAGGACACTTTTCGCGCGACGGGGGCGGAAAGGGGTGAGGCCTCCGCGCCGCGCGCTCCACACCGGGCCCGGTACAGTGACAAAAATTAAAATTGTCCTGGGCACAAAAAACATTTTGTACCGCGGGGCCGAATGAATTAAGTTTGAATAACGGACTGTATAAGTTTTCGTCCTGGGAACGAATCTGTTTGCCTTTGCCTCAGAAATGTATTAACTGGAAAAAACAAAGGTGATGTAAGTCCCACCTTTTGCAGGCGCTGAGTCCAACTTTTTAAAGGGACTGAAGGTTCAGTCCCTTACAATAGGCACCAAAACTGCCAAAGACACTAACTTTCGCTTTTAGCACATTTTAGGGCTCTTTAGTGCCTCTGTAAAGGCACTAAACTGAAAACTTATCTAACACCCCTGGAAAGGTACAACTTCGCACCTTTGTTTTTCTATTGTTCCCATTTCTAAAACCTCAGAGTGGCGGAAGCTGATACTTCTTCGTTCCAGGAAACACCCCAAGATGGACGCATATTTAATACATTTTTTCTTTGTTTCGGTGTAATACTACACTGTCGGGGGAGTTTCTTCTACTCCCCCGTGCGCTACGTCAGAGCCCGCTGTTCGGACTCGTCCGGCCCTTGCTGCTGCTGCTCCAGGAGTGGCGGGGCGGGCTCTTTAGGCGGGATGGGTGCGGGGGCGGGGTGCGGTGAGGTGTTCTCCGGCCCGCCCCGCCCTGAAATATTTCGGACCCATTTAATAGTAATAACACCGGCTCGGTCCACGGCGGCGCCAACGAGGCGGACCGGCGGGCTGCTCCGGGCGGACACGGAGCCGCAATTGAACAACGACCAGCTCGGCTCTGCTGAGGGGCGGGGTAGGGCGGGCCAAGCGGAGGAAAAAGAGGTGGCGGCCAGGGCACTACTGCTCGGGCGGGGCGGCCACCCTACGCATACAATACCACCCTTAGGGCTGCTGCGGCGGGCAGCTGGGTGCCGCCGCAGCAGCCTCGACTGAGCCAGACGGCCTCGCCGCCCCGCCCCGCCACGCCACGCCTTGCCGCGCTCTGCGAAATAATTCATACGCAAGGAGCCGGTGCGCGCCGCTGCTGCTGGTGGTGGTGGGTGCACCAGGGCGGGGCAGGGTGGG